GATGTCCCCTGCCCCCTTGTCGCTCCCTCCCAGCTTTATCTGAACGATGGATGAATCTCTGCGAGCCTCCGTCCCTGGGGTGGGGGTGGGGGGGAGCTCAGTAAAATTGGTAGGAGGCGTCTGGAAGAAAGCAGTCTCTCGGGTATTTCAGCACCTAGGCAGGAACAGTGGGGCATTCCTAGTGCCAGCCCCGGGGGCGGCTGGCGCAGAAAGCTCTGGCTTCCACGCGGCGCCCGGGCTGGCGAGGTCGGGGTCGCGCGGTCACTCTCCAGGTGCTCCTTGCAGGATCCCGGGGTCCGGGCCCCGCCGCCGCGCCCCGCCCGGCTCTGTCCCCACCGCCTCGCTGCCGGGCTGCCGGGCTTTGTGGTTCGCCCGTGCTGCTGGGCCCCTGCTGGGGGTGTCGTTACGAGCATGTGCAGACAGCAGCCCAAGGTAGAGCGAGCGTGCCGGGCGAGCCCGGAGACCTGCCTTGCAATGCCATGTTGGTGTATGTGCTCTAACTCCCGGAGAGCAGTCAGGGAGACGGCTCCCCGGCCGGACTTGGCTGATGTTTTCTTGTTTCTGTTTCAGCCTTCAGGATAATTCCTTCAGCAGCAGCGCTGTAACAGAGTAAGTTATTCTTGTCATTAAAATTAGACTTGCATGCCTTTCTCTGGAAGCAGCTATCATGAAGGTATCCTCCACGGTCCCCAGCCGCTGTTTGTACTAGATGCATTGTCTCCTGTAATCTGGGGCCGCGAAGAACGCTAGACGTGCTGACTGATGGGGCTCAGAAATCTTTACAGGTTGAAATCAACATTTTAGCAGCTGCAGGAGAGATATGAAAACCAGCTGATTGCTTGTGAGACGATCAGTGCTCCAAGATACGTGTTATTGGAGCTCAGATTTTTTAAAAATCTACTTGGCAGGTCAGAAAGGAAGCTTTGTTGTATTTTGTCAACATTGGTGTCAGTTTTCCTGGAATGCATACTATACACATTTATAACAAATAAGAGATGGATGTGAAATGACTTGAGTTGAATTTCAGCATTTAATAACCAGGCTAAACTTATCCTCTTATCTACAGATTTTTAAGACACAGCAGTGTAAACTTTTCTGCGTGCCTTTTGTCATGTCTGTCTTCTGACCTCAACGATCTGGCTATAGGAGGAATGAGTCATCTGGTCTTATGGCTAAAGCTGTTGATTAGGGCAACTAACACCATTTAAGCACGGAATGAAGGATTGTCATGTTTTACTCAAGGCCAGCAGGCACAGTATTTCTTTTTTATTAGATATTTATAGTTTGTACTTTTAATTCTTGCCATCCCTTCCTTAATATGGTTTCCTAATAGTATACTATACATATATGTTAAAAAGTAATAGGTAGTATATTTGCTAACACTACACATAACATATATAAATGTAAATTACATGTATGTGTATGAACTGTATATACTGATGTTTGCTTTTGAATAGAAGTCACTCTGAGCAGCTTTTCAAGAGAGAGGCATGTGTAAAAGTTGTATATTTAACTACTTTTAAAACATGTAGCTCACTTGGGAGCTGTTTGCTTAAGTTACCTAAAAAGCAAATAAATGTAGAAATAGGTGTCGTTTGAGTTTCATGTCCTACCGCTGTCACATGTCTTGGTGATGGAGGGGTAAGTTTCTACAGTGCCTCCCAGGCCCTCTTATTTCCCACATTCTTTTGTTTCTCTGTTTGGATGTGCTGCTCTCTTTTAGTGTCTAGATTTGAGCTCACTTAAGTAGAGTCACTTTAAAAAAACAAAAACAAAAACAAAGAAAACAACAACAAAAAAACAGGGTAGACTTCAGAAGATACAATATAAAATACTTATTTAGACCCGTATACTGTTAATGAGATTGCTTGGTCACCTGTGCTGCAACTTCACTTTTCTGAAAGCCTGAGAGGAGGGGACGGAGGGGTGCCCAAGTCTGCATCTGCAGGCCAAAGGTGAGCCCTTGACTTCCTGGTTCAGGTGCACAGGTACTGCTCTCCTCCCTTGGCCGTGCTTACAAACACCAAGTACTTTCTGGGCCTGATTGTGGAGAGCCCTGTGTGGCTGAATCCCCAGAGTCAGCCACTGGCATAGCAGCTTCAAAACGGGAACACTTAGTTCCAGATTTCACATGGGTTTTTTTTTTTTTTTTTTTGGTAAAAGTTTTATAGTTAAATCCTGGGGTAAGTCTGGTGCCTTGTCTTTGGACACTCCCCAAGGAGTTCTGATTGCATATGATCATGTTGTTACTTTCTGAGAAGTGACAGTGATTTATTTTGAAAGGCACTGAGTGATAATTGGAATGCCATCTGGCTACTATAAAAATCTAAGGAGCGTGCTAAAAAACATACCAAAAGCTTCATAGGTGTAACACAGCACAGGCTGGGGTTATTTAAAACAAGTCATTGTCTAACATAACCTTTTCCCCTCCCCTCAGCAATATGAACCACATCCTTTGGTTCTCTGGGTACGACCCCATAGCCAGCAGGACCAGGGTGCACTGTGCTGAGACATAGCAGGTGCTCAGTAAATGTTTGGGTGTGGTCTTTGCCCACACAGAGGAGGCGCTTTCCTCTCTTATACAAGAAAAGTTCTTCTTCCTCCTGTCCTCACCCCATTCCTCCTTCCTCCTACTTACACCCACTTATTTTCTTGAGTGCCTAAAATTCCACCTAGTGATGATTTCTTCCAGATCAAGGCCTCTAGTAGTGACTCCTACTGAAATGGAGATTTAAAAGTCTGTGCCCCTGGGAGGTGTATTCAAGTTGTCATTAATACTTAATATGAATTATTTTATCAGATATTTTAACTTGTCAGGGTTCTGCTTGGCCAGCTGAGGGTCCTATAAGAATCAAAGGGAAAGGGAATTGGGAGGGACTCAAAGACAGACTTTATTTTTTTCTTTATTTTTCCCAGGCCCGGCACTGTCTATGAAGCTCTGGACCAAGTCAATTTCTTTTTCTACCCAAATTCTTTCAACATCACAACGGCCTTGTCCTTTTCTTCTGTATCTGCAGCACCTTTTCATCTATTCTTTTTTCATGGTCATTTCCTATGTTGTCCTGGCTAACTTTCTATTTGAGATGAAGCCTGGCCTACAATAATTCTGATTAGTTATCATCCAACGCAGTGGTTCTTAAAACAAACTGATCACCAACATCAACTGGAGAAGGGGACTGGAGCCTGTGAAAATCACAGTCTCGCAGCCTTTATCTCAAACGCCAAATGGGTGATTATATTGGACTCAGCCCAGCGCTGGCCTGGGTTTCAGAAACCTTTAGGTCATTGTTAAACTTTTTAGAAGAATACTAGTTATGTCAGTGGGCAATCGGGTTAAAACTTCACATTGCTGGGTCCCACCGTAAGAGAGTTGATGTAGTGGGGCTGGGATAGGGGTGGGGCTGGAGTCTTCGACTATACAGGTGGTTCCAGGGAAAAGCCACAGGAGGCTGTACCTCTAGAACTTTGCCTTCAAGGAATATGGTACTACAGGGTGAATGGAAATCCCATTCTAGCACAACTATATTTTTTCTAACAGCCAATCTGTGGCCTGTCTTCTTATTTAGTTGGAAAAGAGAACTTTTCATGGGCATTTTTTTTTACCACCATTATTCTAGGAAACATCATTCTCCCTCCCCTGTAAGCCTCTGGGAATAGAAACTGAAGAGGTTATTTGATTTCTGTCTTTTGGGTTTAGTGTGGTGGAGCAGAAACAACACAAGATTCGCTGCTTTAGGCCTTGGAATTCTGGGCAATAACCTAGCCTCTGTGCAAAGTTAATTCCTACCTCACAGCATTGTCAGGCTTAATTGAAATTATGTGAAAGAGCAGTTGAGCTGGAAGTACCATACAAGTTTTTCTTGTTTGTGCTTAGTAGAGCAAACAAAAGTCCAAATAGAAAAGTAATAACCCCAAGCAATTCACAAAGAAATCATTGCAAAGACAAATTATCCATATATTGTCTGGGCAACCACAAATTAAGGACTTTGGGACTTAGAATCTAGTTGATGAGAACTACAAAGGAACTCATGTAATAGAGATGTCTTTCACATTTTTAAAACTATGAACAACCACAAGAAAAACATTCTATATTGCAATCCAGCCCACATACATATATATAATTTAAGTTCTGTGAAACAATGAACCCTTACTATACTGACATTTTCTACTCTGTTTCTCTAACAACACTAACAAAAAAATGCTGGTACCTGCTGTCTAATTTCAATACCCCCTAAGAAGTCACAGTGTACAGTTTGAAATACATTGAACTAGAAAATGTCCAATTTTGAATATCCAAGAGGGAGTTCCTTAAAGGGATTGGTTTTAAAATTCCTGTATAGGGCTATAATGTAGGAAAAGAATGCCATGCCCCAGATCAGTTGGCCACTTGGTCTGAGTTGATTTTCTTCCAGGAGTGGGGATATCTGGATATGAGTTCCTATGGTGAAGTCCAGTTTTATAATTGGGCTGGTATTGTACATTTGCAGGGGGCTCCTGGGCAAGAACAGAAAGGAGATGCCAATTGAGTAGAAGTTGATGGTCTTTATCAAATTAAATAAAAACTCAACTGAACTAGAAGAGCTTGTATATACATGTCAAGCCAGTAGGGAAATCTATTTCAATTCCTGTATCTACGAGCTTAGAATTGTGAGTGGCAACTGGAGTTCTTCAATAGGCATTAAATTGGATCAACGAATTAGGTCCAGCCTCATACTTCAGAAAACATCTGCAACTTTGTATGTTCTGGTGCCAAGTTTCCATTTTTAACTAATTGTACTTTGAGGAGAAGGATTAGTAAATCAAATGAGGGGGAAAAATAAGTTCTTGCCAAATCCCCAAACAATAGGTATTGTTGAGCTCCAGGGTTGAACCGCTGGTTGAGCCCTGGTTCTTTGGAAGCAACAACTCTAGATTTCTATTCTTCATTGATCTTTCTACGTGGCTATTGGAAAACATCTTTACTCACGTTAAAAAGCCCAGATGATCTATTAGGTGGGTGCCACTAAGGCACTACTTATGAATTTTATTTATTTTTATTTTCTTTTTTAATTTTTTGACCGGTAAGGGGATCTCAACCCACGGCATGGTGTTGTCTGCACCACGCTCAGCCAGTGAGCGCACCGGCCATCCCTATATAGGATCCAAACCTGAGGCCTCGGCGCTGCCAGCGCTGCACTCTCCCGAGTGAGCCATGGGGCCGGCCCATTATTGTTAATTTAATCATGGTTTTCCATGGGATGGATGGAGTAGATTATTGGCAGTCAAAAACATGAGAAACCAAGGAAATTTAGTTCATTCTGTTAATAGGAGCATTTTATTAAGTCAACCAATTGTTTTTAATTGCCAAAAGGCACAAAGTATTTCAGCAAGTAGAGAGGGTTAGAGTCTGTAGGTGGCCTTTGTTGAATTCCCTAAAAAACCATAATTTAAAAAAAGATTATAAGGTAAGAGAACTGGAACTTTCAACAGTTCATTCTGTGGGTTGATTATACACCATTGCCAGTAAGGAATATTTAAAAATTGTAAATCATTTCTTATAATATAAATACTGTATGATGGTTATATTTATGCATGTAGGTATTTATTTGCTTCTTTATTTTTGTCTACTCACTACATTGTGTATTTCTCAGAGTAGGTTCCAGATCTTTTTCAAATTTTGTGTCCATTAGAAGCAGTGCTACTTAAAATGTGTGTCTCCAAATTGTAGCTTGTCTGAGGTAAGAAAAGAACAGAAATAGGGAGTTAGTATTTACTAATTTTAATAGAAATTTGACATTGCTATGTCATTTTTACCAAAATAATTATCAGCAGTGGATTAGAAATAAAAAACAAACTGGTTGGTCCTGAACCCCGCAGAGTTTGAGAAGCATAACTCTAATGCTTAATGTAGTACTAGGGATGCAGTAATTGCTCAATAAATGCTTGTTTAATTATTTCAGGGACCAGGCCTGCTGAAGGAAAAGAGGTAATGTTTCAATTCAAGTGTTTTTTGAGTGTCAACTCTGGGGTAGCACTGTGCTTGGTAATGGGGCAGTGTATCTAGACAAAGAAATATAGTTATTTCTACTCATCAAATTAGTAACTAATTACAAAGATTTCAGAGGTACAGAGGATTACAGAGCAGTATGAGGCAAGATATAGTTGGTTACCAAAACCTCAGAATGAAGAGTAAATATTTATGCATTAAGGTTAAAGAAGGAATGTGGCATGTGGGTGAACTTGGCTGGGAAGGTTCACGGTGCTCATGGCCTGACTTGGGCAATGAAGTATGTGTAGGATTTAAAGATGGAAAGTGCATTGCAGGCTGGGGTGGGGCCAGTTGAGAATGACTGGGAGCAGGAACAAAGTCTCCCTTCTACGCTAGAGTGAAAGAATGGTCCTATTCCAGATTCCCCTAGGCAGTGTGGAGCACTGAAGATTTTTCAATACAAGAGAGCCAAGAATTTTTATAAGGCAAATCCAGAAGTTTTATGAAAAGGAACTCTTCCATTTCATAAGATCAAGAAAGTCCAAGGTCAATGGACTGGTGGTCAAATGGGAACTGGTGTGGTTTGGGACCGCCTGAAGAGAGAAAATGCAAGAGGCATGTAGTGGAATCTCTTTTGGGCCAACAGCAATCCACCAGTCTTGCTGCCTGATGTCTGTTCAAGTGCTGTGAACACTTAGGTCCTCTGTATGATCTTGTTGGTTTCGATGATGCAGAACAGTGGAGGCAAAAAGCAGAGTCACATCTGCTTCTGAACTTTTAAGCTCACATTATATGACAACATTGATATCATTACCTGGTAGACATGTTGTGAATTGAGCTGATTTGGGAAAGAGTGGTGAAGATTATTATGTATTTTAGTTTACCATGCTAATCTTGAGATAATTCTAGATTATTGCTGCTACTGCTATAGCAGACAGTTGGATCTGATATGGTTTTTGTTCCCTCTCCCAGGTGTGAGGAAGAGAGACTCTCTCTACATGAAGACCAGACTGATTGCTCCAGTCTCAGGTACGACCCACCGTTGCTTGGTCCTTATTTGTGAGAGAGAGAAACCATCGGGATCTAGGAGCTCTTCTTTGACTTCTAGTCTCTTTTTCGAATTCTAATTATTTGTTCTTATGTCTCATCCCTTCTACTAAATTTTCAGCTTTGAGGGAAGTTTTGTCTTGTCCACTTATATGTGAAGAACACTCAATAGATGTCTGTCAAATCGAACATTGATTGGCCTATCTCAATGTTCCCTTCATAAACTCTAAGAAAGAAGCTCTAGATTACTCACCAAACATGTCATTGAGTGTCTGGAGTATGATCTTTGTCATCAAGGGGCCCTTGGTACAGTGGCAAAACTTTCACAATTAACCATTTCTTCCACACTTACTTTGTTCCAAGCATTTTCATGTCCATTTTATTAAATAATTTAAACAACTGAAAGGAAGCTGATATTTCCTTCCTCTTCCTGTAGATAGAGAAACGGAGGCTCAGAGGGTTTATAGCTTGTCCAAGATAACATAGCACTATGTGGCAGAATTTGGACCTAGCTCCATCCGACTCTAAAGTCCACTTATTGGATAACTGTTGTTGAGGGCCTATTTTGTATGCCAGAAACCAGTCAAGATTTTGGATAACGGCAAAGCAATCTCTGATGCTAGGAATTCAGTCTGCTAGAGGATAAGAATACAGATGATGATGCTACCATGCATTAAGTGCTATATTATATGAGAGGTAAGCAGAGGATTCACTCACAGGGACCAAATAGCCCACAGAGGTTTCTGGAATGAATTCCTGAAGAAAATTACATGTGGCACATGACTTTTTTTTTCTGTTGAGACCTCAGACCAAGAAAAAGTTGATGCCACCAAACAGAGGGAGTGGCTTACTGGAAAGCCAACAGAGAGGAGAGAAAATAGTTGGAGTCAAAGGAACAGCAAGCAGTTCGGGAAAGGGGGTGAAGAGGCAAAGGGTGATAAGAAGTGAAGGTAAACAAAGACCAGATTTCACAGGATTTGTATGTCTTGCAAGGAATTTGGAATTTATGCAAATAACCACTTGGCTAAGGCCCCCCTGAGAATAACAAGAGCTTTCATTTATTGGTTTGCAGCCTTTCATTCATTGGTTTGCTAGCTTTTATGGTAGGCATTTCACAGAGCCTGTGTTATCACTGCAGGGTAGATATGGCAGTCATTGCATGTGTGAGGATCATAGAGGTGAAGTGGCATGTGGTCCAGGCTACCCAACTAAAAAGTGGGGGGATCTTTCAGACTCTTGCTCTTTTCAGGACACTCATTCTCAGTTATGATTATTTCAATAAGTAGTGGCATAAATTAAACAACCTGTACTTTTCTGTTTGGGGGATCCCGAGAAACAAATAGTATGTCAGAAAATATATTTCTAAAGATGACTCTTGTCATCAGGTTTTACATTGGTGTCATGGGGGAAAGATGCTTTTTGCTCCCTCCCCCTTTCCTCACCTTCCAAGACAAGGAGGTAAACAAGATAACACTTGTAAATTTGGGGTGACTTGAAAATGTAATAGAAAAACAAAGCTTAAGTATTATTTTTGGAATCAAAATAGTCATTTTAGATTTGAAAAACCACTTTTTTTATTCCTGAGTGTTTTGGAATCCTACTTGAATGAGAATCATTTAGGTAACCATAAAGGTAGCTGCTCTTCTGTTCCTCAAGCAGGAGCGTAGCATGGAAGAGTATTATTTGTTTCTAGTGAAGGAAATGTACTTCAAATGAGCTAGTATGGTTTGCAACTCATGATGTGATATTAATTTCCAAACCCATTAGTGACTTAGAAAAAAAAATTAATTGTAAATGATTTCAAAGGAATAACATCAACCTGTGTCTCTGGCATTGATTTTTTTTTCCAGTTACTAACATTGAAGAATTATTTCACTTGCTGGGTTCTCCCTTATCAGGCAGCACTAAGTTTGTCCTGAGACTTAAGTTTAATTATTTTGCATAGTTTTATTCCCTCACCTTGCCCAATTGCACCCTTGTCATGCTCCAGACCACCTATTCTGATGGGTCTTTTCCCAGAGACTAATTGGAGCTCCTCCTCTCCTGATATCAGCTTGGCAAATTTAATCTCTCTTTTATTTGCTGGTCTTGCTTCTTGGCTTTGTATGTCCTTGAGCAGTGAAGAATTGCTTCCCAGCTGACCTTGCAAAAGCTCTTTTATGGGTGCTTCTGTCAAGGGAGCATGAAGGAAAATCAACACCTTGGTGAGGTGGCCTCTCCTAATGACCTGTGTGATCTTATGCCAGTGATTGCCAGTGGGGTAAGGTTGATGATATTTGATCATATAAAGAGAATGCCCCAGTTGGTTATGTCCATGGTGTTTGCTTGATTCTCATCAAAATTAAAAATAAAATGCATCTAGTTTTAAATGGAACAAATGGTTTCCAATAAGAATGCTATCATGTCAGTATTTTTGAGAAAATTGAAACTGGAGGAAGGTAGGGAAATTGTATTGAGTTTTATTGTTGATGAAGAATACAAGTCCCATCCCAGTACTAACTGTATGAAGGTAATGCCAGCATATTCCATCTTTTCCAGTGATTTGTCACTGATAGAACCAGACAATGAGATCTTTGACTTTTCACTCAGGTTACTGTTTGGATGGCTTCATTGGGCAAGATTTGGCCCTTGCCCTATATTTTATCCAGGTAACATGTATCCTATCAAAATAGATCCCATTAAACTTGTAAGTGCCTCTGAAAGTTGTAGGGAGATGATTATAAACTGACATTGCCAGTGAGAAGCAAGCATCCTGCCTTGCCCCAAGAACACAGGCAGGAGAGACTGGAGGCCCACCTCACCACTCCGGGTCTGCGTGGACTAGCCCTTCCATCAGGCACATTATTTAATCTCTGGGTTTTAGAGTCTTAATCTAGAAAGTTGGGATGACAGTATCCAACCTGAATATCTCACACTATTATTGTGAGAGGAAAATACAACATATGTGAAAGCACCTTCAAGTGAAAAATTCAAAACCAATGTTGAAGATATGTACACAGTTCCAATTACAAAAAGTAGGTATCCACTAGCAAAGATTGCAAGGGAAGGTGGAGTGAAATAAATAGTGACTCACATGCCTTAAGTTCTTGCTTCTGTAAAATTGTCCAGGTCTGTGCTAGAAATTTTGCTAGGTGCCCCGTAAATACAGCAGCAATGAATATGGCCAGCCCCTGTTTCCTGCAGCAGTTTATGCTTTTTTTTTTTTTTTTTTTTTTTTGTGCTTTCTAAATTGGGTCTTGCCTGTTTTAGAGATGAAAGCAACAAGGAGAATTACCCCGGCGGCGCGGCTGTGGTAGAGGAGCACGGGGCGGCGCAGCATGTAGACAGGACCGTGCTGGTGGACGGCGTGCTGCGGGCCGGCATGGGCAACTTCAAGTCCCGCAAGCCCAAGGCCATCCTCAAAGCCGACAGCGGGAGGAGCCGCGGAGAGAGTCAGGTAGCGGCTCTGTCTCCTCAGGCCTTTGCTAGCAGGTGCTGCTGGGCGCGGGCACCGTCCTGGCAGAAGGCTTGAGTCCGTTATTTTGCAGGAGGCGATTAGCTTGACTTATTGTGCTCGCCGCCGGCCTGGGACAGGTGGATGCCGTCCTTGGTTTGTAGTGGGGTGCTCTGGACAGACTAATCATTTAGCACCCTTTCAAACCGATATTCTTAAATACTGGACTTTGCTTTAAGGAAGCAGCTGCATTCTTTTGGGGGGAGGGTGGTGGAAGATCTAATTATCTTCATTCATCCAAGACAAGGTAGCTCTTGCCCCAAACTTGGAGATTCTACTCAGCAAAATCAAAAGTCCCAGTTTCACCAGGAGCCATTCTCCTTGGGCTGCAGTTTTGCAGCCTTGAATAAACACTCAAGTGTGTATGTGTGTGTTTGTATGTGCATGTATATCTGGTTCTCTGAAGTCTGTAAGTATTTAAATGGATGAATGAAGCATTTCCCCAACTAAGTTCTGTTAATAAATTGACATTTTATAAATTTTAAAAATTTTCTCGAGTTGGTTAGGACTGTAGCAAAGAATGTTTTATTGGTTTTTTTTTTTTAATCTTAAAAATCTCTGGTATAATTTATGATGCTTTTAAAAAGAGATTAAATGAAAATAATCTACTTTGGTTTTACTATGACATTAACATTCCCAACATTGAGGTTATACTTGTGATGCACCTAACATAGATTTTGGGACATAGATCTTCCATAAATGTTAACTTTGCATTTTTTGTTGTTAACATTTAGGTGTTAACCTTAAAAATAATGGGGAGGCTGTAAGTGTAATAGGTTAATTATGTAATAACTTTAAGTCCAGTCCTATTTAGCAGATGAGCACCAGGTGATCTTCCTGTTAGAGCACCTTTGTCTGGGAGTTTATTTGACCTTGCAATTTTCTTATTTGCCTTATGATTTTTATCTCCCTTCTTCCTTGGAATTGTAACCTCTTATGTAGTCAGTTAATTTTGCAGGGAGATGAAAATGCCATCTGCATTCTTGAACCTGTGTTGTGATATTTTTAACTGAGTATAATTCCCATTGCAGAGAGAGGTGAGTGTGAAATACCATTTCAGTTGTGATAAGCTTGAGATCATGACTGTTACTGAATGTACTCCAGCACCTGTCTGATTAGTAGGGACGTGTGGGAGGGCACAGGTTCCCAAAGGGCTGCCCCTAGAGTCTGACTGATCCCAGGGAGGCTTTGACCTTGAATTTCCTGCTGGGAGTCACCTGTGATATGGGGTGATCAGCCATCTCTCCTCAGAGAGCCCCTCTTTCTTGTCATGCTGTAGTCTGGCCTCGTAGAAATTACACTGTCATCACTTGTAATAAGGTGCTAATGGGGCATGTAATTCCCAACCTGTTGCTCATACACGGGAAGATTTCAGGAGAGAGATATGCTTGTATATTCTTTGCTCATAACAGAGCATTGGAATTCTGGACTGAAGGTAAAATTCACAGTGGAATTTAAGTGGCCTGTTCTACCTGATTCAATGAGCATCATTGTCAAATATAACATACCAGGCGAGATGTTGGTTGCATGATTGATTTTCCCAATATATCCTGGTTAAAAGGAAGACAGATTATTTTTGAATGCATGCAATTAAACCTACTACCACAAAGAAGTTTGGACACTTGGTATGAGTTTCCGATTTCTGGGGGTCAGTGAGACTCTGACATCATTTTAAAATGTTTTATTTCAGTTTACATAAGCAGCATCTACTAAATTGTTATGGGTTACAGATAGTTGAAATAGAAAGAGAAAGGACTTTTTATATATTCAGAAAACAGAACATTGAAACAACAATATGCTAAACAAATAACTGCAATAAGATTTTCCTTATCAATCTTATTGTCTGATTTCCTTATCAGTCTTATGTAATTAATTCTTGTTCTTCTTGATCTTGGGTTAACGGTATCATGAAGCCATCTGCTTTTCCACTAAAGTTCTGCAAATCCTGGCTCAGCCCACTGAGTCATCAGCCTCCTGTATCCATGAGTGTTCTTTGAATTGTCAATTGTTTAAAGTAGCTGGTCCTTTACTGTGGGACCATTGCGAGTCTTCTTGTCGAAGACACAAACACTGACTTACAGCTGAGTAAAACCTCAAGCAAACGTTGGAGGAAAACACAACTGTCTATAGATGACAGAACTGAAATGGCTGTGGTTAATTCACTGCAGGTAATTGTAAAATGTGAAAGGTCTGATGAGAGATCGTAATAAGAGTAGTATAATGTGGCATGCAAAACAAGATAATAAAATTATTCCCTCCAAATTAGACAGAATGTCTTAAAGGATAATGAGTAAGCCTATTTTCAAAGAAGGCAGGGAATGTTACTTCTGATTTTATAAAAAGGGATGAGCATAGTTTTTACAGAGGAAAAAACCCCTCAAGATATAACATAATAATCCTGAAAGAGTATACCAAGAATATCAAGCAAAAAGATTCATTGAGTCTGGAATGGGTCCTAGACGTCTGCATTATTATTAAACTCTAAAGGCGAGTCTGATGCATCTCCGATTGAAAACCAGTGGCCTAGATAATGCCAGATTCAGATGAAAGCTCTAAGGCTGTGGACAAGGCAACATTTAAAATAATAGCTACAGTTATTACTGATAACATTATAGTGTCGTTATCTAATATCATCAGGCAAAGCTCCACCGGACTTGGACAAATATAGGAGAATTTGATAGAACTATTTCATAAGAGTTTTGATCACAGGGCAAATGTAACATTAATTAGGTTTACCATGCAGTGTGGTAGAGAGAGTGGTTCTGTTTTTAAAGCTGGATTTATTTGGGGAACTTGAGCTTCTGTTGCAGCTACAAATCCTGCCCGATGCTGTTGCCATCATCTAGACACTGAGTTCCAACTGGTTTGTTATAAGATTATCATTCCCCAAAAGCACCTGTAATGAACTTACGGGCACAACCTTTTTTTTTTTTTTTTGTCTTTTTCCGTGTCCGGCAATGGATCGCAACCCTCAGTGTTGCCCCCGTACCGGACCGGGGACCGGCAACGGGATTGCAACCCTCGGTGCTGCTCCCGCGCCTCGCTCAGCCAGTGAGCGGGAACCGGTCAGTATGTGGTATCCGAACCCTCGGGCGGGGCGCCGCCACGCTTCCCAAGTGGCGCACTATCCAGTGCGCCACCGGGCCGGCCCCCGGGCACAACTTTTATGAGTTTAAAAGCAACCCTCTTTGAAACCTAAAGAGCATCATTGTAGGTGTTGAGCTATTGCCATTTCTGGGTTCTCTTTTCACAGTTTACATGCAGGACCCTAGAGTGGCTCCTCAGTCTGATCCTAACCAGGTCAGGAATGTGGGTTTGGGGAAAGGAGGAAGAACCAAATGATAACTGTTGGAAATCTGGCAAAATGTTCCACCTTTCTTGCCTTTCTTCTGATCATCCCCAAAGTAAGAATCAGAAGTTTCACTTCTGGAGGGTCGTATTCAAATCTTACTTTGAACAACTTTTTTTTTTTTTTTGTCCTTTTTGTGACCGGCCACACCGTGCTCAGCCAGTGAGCGCTGTGAGCGCACCAGTCATCCCTATATAGGATCTGAACCCGCGGCGGGAGCGCTGCTGCGCTCCCAGTGCTGCACTCTCCCAAGTGCGCCACGGGCTCGGCCCTGAACAACTTTTCTTTAATCTTGGCCTTGACCACTTCTATGAGAAGGAACCATGGGCAGAGTAGCAGAATCAGAGGTTTTGTGTGCCTGTGTGAGCGACTGATTCCAGTTTTGCACCCACTTTGAATGATTTAAAGGGGAGGGATTTAGGTACATTTACTGATCCAACAGAAGACCAACCAGTAAGGCAATGCAAGAATGACCTCAAAGAAGTTAAGATATTTAGAATACGGAGAATGTTTATTTGAACCAGGGTCTGTTTTTCTTTCTGCTTGTTTGTCCCTTTCTTCCCTAGACAGTAGGCTTTGCAAAAGAATAGCTTAGATGAGGCGCATTTAGTGACCTGTCTCCTGAAAGACCAGGTTTTAGGGATGCTATTACTAGAGTTCATTGATATGATGACTTTGAAGTTAAAACAAGATGGATGAGTAGGTGCTAAGCACAAACTCCTGATCAAAGTGGAATTCAGTAACTGTTTGCTGTTATGTGGAACGGCTAATGAGACAGCAAACACTCTTTCCAAGGAGTAGAACTGACTCAAGGCATGGATCTTATGCTGTACTATTTTGTGAGAAATTAGAAACGATCTTGTTTCAGTCACCACGCAAGTGATAATATTAATCTCTTACAACCTGACTTGAGGAAGATTAGACTTGACTAACAGAACCAACTTCCTGTACTGGACCTCAGAACTGTCCAGAGGGTGTTCATTTTTAGAATTGGTAGATGGAGTCGTGTCATCTCCCCTCCCCGCCATCTGGCAGTATGCTATGCGCCATTCTTCCATCCTCCCCTCTGGTGGCTATTTTAGCAGAAGACATAAAGTAGGAGGCTATGGAGAGAGCTTTTCTGCATTGAGCTGTGTACTGGATCACACTGCTAATCCACTCCCTTGGGGAGACCAGCTGTTTGTCTGGTGTGCATCAGCATCAGGTTTCTTCCATTTGGCTCCAGGAGATGTGTTAAGAGGCTGGAAAGAGATCCAGGTCTATTGTGAAATTTTCATTTTTATCCTTCTGCGGAAGCGAGAGCCCCTTAAATGCTTTCAGGCAAAATAACCTAACTATGAAGTATTTACTAAATTTCTGTTTTGCGAGGGCATAGTTCTTATTCTTACTGCATTGGACTCTAAATTAAAAGAAAGACAATATGTAATTCTGGGATATTTCCCTCCCCGCCCAGCCAACGCCAAAGAAAGTAAGATTCTATTTCCAATTATGGATCTACTTTATTATGTTAATACAAACACACACACACACACACACACACACACACACACACATTACTGAATCACTGAGCAATTCCAAACAGTAAAAGCAAGAA